CAGGAGACACAACAGGATGTGTGTAGTAACGTAGAACTTTGAAGTCTGGGAAGGTTTCCGGTATCGCCAAGGCCTTGTTCTTCCTCTTGAAATGGCCATTCTCGTTGGTGCGAAGCTCATGTATCAAAGAATTCCTCCAAGCCGTTGTTCCTTCTTTGTCCACTGCCTTCAACCGGCAGAGATCTCTGCCAAAGCCAGCTTTGGCAGCCTCAACCGCCACTTTGATTCCACAGCCGGGGAGCCCGTTAGGATCGTAGTCGCCGCCGCTCATCAAAGCAACAAGAACCATGCCTTCGCGATCCAAGCCATGTTGATCAAGTTTCATTTTCTCCGTATCGAACAGAGAGACGTGCGTCGGTGTTGTGTCGCGTTTTGATGCCGGTGACCACTGTCGCAGCATTTTGGTGCATCCAAACATCAGGGCGTCAACATCTTCTGTTAGAACCATGTCTACGATGCCATGCTTCTGCAGCAGAGCGCACTCCGCCTCAGCTTCTCCTGGCGCATCGTGGGTGTTGCAGCCGAATAGTCGAATTAACCGTTTCGCTTGTGCATTGGCGAAGGAGTCGCCACGACCGGATTTCTTGTTTCGTTTGACTGCAGGCTTGTATGGACCGTCAAAAACAAAGATAGGCTCGACTGGACATGCCAGTAGACGAACGAGTCGGTAGAATAAAGTTCGAATTTCGGGGTTCGTGCCACCTGACCATTGTTAGAGAAGCGCTTCAGTATCGTAATGGCTGTGATATACCTTGCGCCGCCTGATTTTGAAATTGCCAAATCGCAATATCAATCGCTATTCGTAAAGGCCGTCCCTGCTTCTCTAGTGACTCGGCGGCGAGTTTCAGTAAGGCCACTCGTTCGCCTTCGCCCACCTCCTGGTAGATCCTGAAGATATCAGCCTGGCTTTTCGCAATATATAACACGTGATTCTTACCCTTTGATACCCATTTGAACATCAGAAAGGCCTTGAAGCAATCCGCTTCAAATTCTCCAGATTTGGTAGTCTATGATGTAGGTTGAAATTCACGGTCCAAGGTTGCCCCACGTCGCTGCGGTTACCAGAAACCACTGTTTTCTTAGCCAGTAAAGGCGGCAGATCGGCGCTAGAAACGCCGACTTCAAATAACCATTCAACCAACCAGCGTCAAATTACATGGCTACGCCCTGACCAGGGCATCTCATCGCCAACATCGAACAAAGGGAAAAAGCAGGAAACACAGAAGATTTCATCTCACTCGCGATGGCCTCTGGGACTGGATCTACACTTGCTCATAGAAGCGTGGCTAGTATCCGTGGAGGTCCTCCTCAGGGGCCAGGCCCATCTCCACATACCCCGAATCGCTCGTCTGTTATTTCATCCTATGGCTCACCATCGACTATCCGTGCTGATGACGAGTTCATCGTTGTTGAACTAGGCTCACGCCATATTAGAGTAGGATTTGCGGGCGACACATCTCCAAGAGTGGTTCTTCAATGCAGCCCTGAAGATCAAAGGCGGGCTGGAGACTTTAGAGGCTGGCAACAACCGAAACGGTCACCTGGAATGCAATGGTCAAAGGAACATGAATTTTGGCGATACGATCTAAGAGACATAGAGCTTGGCCTGTATCAGGACAAGCTGGAGCGTGTGCTGCACGATGCTTTCTCAAAGTTCGTCCTGCTTACATCTCACAAGGGACAGTTGCTTACATGAATACAGATACTTGCTCATCGATTCCAGACCACGAAGACTGGGGCTGGTCTTGGGCTCTGGAGTACCTCTACCACTGTTGACAGCCACTTTGGATACACTGTTCAGCAGATTCCAGTCACCAACTATCTCTCTCATGTCAACACCATCCATGTCGGCCATCTCAGCAGGTGTCAGATCCGCCTTGGTGGTAGATATGGGGTGGGCAGAAACTGTCATCACCAGTGTTTATGAACATCGTGAAGTTAAGACAACACGCACAGTCCGAGGCGGCAGAGCACTTTTAGACGCACTTTACAAAACCATCGAGCCATTGATACCAGGAGAACATGATGTCACCAAACAAAGAGCGATCAGATTTGAGGAATGCGAGGATATCATGTGTCGTTTGATGTGGTGCAAGCCATCAGAATTTCGATCATCTCAGCGACAGTCGACCCAGCTCGAAACAGTTGACGAGCAAGAAGAGATCGAGGCGGAGTCGGCACAAGCTGGCGTCCCAACAGGGGTCGCCCAAATACCTATCAATACAAGTCGTCGTCCATTGACAGTGGAGCTTCCCTTTGAGAAGCTTGCTGAGGTCTGCGACGACACCTTCTTCGACCCTTCAGCAGACCGAGCGACATTTGACGACGATGAATTACCGCTGCACCTGCTATTGTATAGACATCTTTTACAACTACCACTGGATGTACGAGCAATCTGCATGTCACGCATAATGTTCACGGGAGGATGTTCCAATATCTTGGGCATCAAGCAACGAATTATCGACGATCTCACAGCTATCGTCAACAAGAGGGGATGGGAGCCAGTGTTCGGAAAGGTAGTGGACAAACATCGGAATAGTGCTAGGATCCATCAACAATCCAGCACCACTTCTCCTACAGAAGGCTCCCCATCCTCATCACCAGGTGAAGATGAACAACGCAAATCCCCCAAGAACGCAGCCGATTTGAAGCCAGAGCACGACCCGATAGAAGCCAAGGTTGTACGACAGCGGGCTACGGTTCCACAATTCAAGGGCCAAATCCGAGTGATTCATACTCTTGGTCCCTGGATTGGAGGTAGCCTGCTCTGTCAGTTGAAGATCCCTGCCATGGCGATTATTGATCGCGAGTCGTGGCTCCTACAAGGCGCCAATGGAGCTTCTCGACCTAGCGAAGTGGACTTTAAGGCACAACACAGACAGAGCGTGCAGGCAGGAGGATATGCTCGAGGAGGTGGAGGACATCACGGAAACTGGACTCTGGGTGTCTGGGGTTATCTGTAGGAGGTTCAGCATTGAGAGATACCATGACATGAAATGAGGAATATGTTGATGGTGCGGACAAACAACTAGATGAGGTAGGCAACCAAATACCCGATTTACTATGAGATCAACATAATTGGCTCAATTGCAATGTTTGTCTATTTGCCAAGAATGAATACTTGAAAGTTGATGTCCCATTCCGCGATGGTCCGTAGTCTATTCGCTCGGGTAATTGCATTAAGCAAGCTCTCCACTGTTAAGCTTCGGCAGCCGACGTCAAGCTCCAAACTCGCTGATCAGGCAGTCTAACTTAGTACCTCAGTCATGCTTCATATGAGCTGCTCACCAATTCAACATCCACCATGAACAGGACATTATCGCGCCTACGGTGTCGCGCTCTACACCCGAGGCTCAATCCACTATTGGCTCGCAGTTTCGCAGATGTGAAGCGGCCTCCTTCGGCGCCAAAACCCATCGTCGATATCAAGCACATCAGACAACACGCAGAACTTTATCAGCAGACTTGTGTGGAGCGCAATTATCGTAATCAGGCGCAAAACCCAGCTAAAATTCTAGAGCTTCATGCGAGATGGCAGGATCTTCAGCGGCAGGGTCGCGCATTGCGTGAGAGGTCGAATTTGTTGAGGAGACAGCTTGCGAATCCGGCGACGAGCAGCGATGATGAGGATCTCAAGGAAGTGCGCCAATTGACCCGTGAGCAGATCCAAGAGGAGGCGCGACAACTCAAGCAGGATCTTTCGGCAATTGAAAAGGGAGAATCGCAGGCTGTTACGCAAATGGAGGAGTTGGCGCTCGAGTTACCTAATCTCACTCATCCTGATACTCCAAAGGGAAGCGATTTTGAGGTTATGAGCTATATCAACGACCCACCCACTTTTAAGGAATCACCTGAGGATAAAATCTGGCGATCTCATGTTCACATCGGTTCTGAGCTTGGTATCTTTGATTTTGCTGGTGCTGCTACTGCTTCCGGTTGGGGTTGGTATTATCTACTTGGCGAGGCTGCTCAGCTGGAGCAAGCCTTGGTTCAGTATGCCCTTGCTGTCGCAACTCGTCATGGCTGGACGCAAGTGTCACCTCCTAGCATGGTATACAGTCACATTGGCGCCGCCTGTGGATTCCAGCCTCGCGATCTAAACGGCGAACAACAAGTCTACACTATCGCCCAGTCAGCTGAAGACGCTGAGCGCGGCGTCCCTGAGATGTGCCTCACTGGAACATCTGAAATTGCCCTAGCAGGAATGAAGGCAAACACTACCCTTGATTCCGAAGACCTACCTCTCAAGCGAGTTGCCGTCTCTCGCTGCTATCGCGCCGAAGCCGGAGCCCGTGGTGCCGACACCAAGGGTCTATACCGAGTGCACGAGTTCACCAAGGTGGAAATGTTCGCATGGACAGCACCAGACGAGGATGTCGCTCAGGAACTCTTTGACGAGATGCTCGACTTGCAGACCGAGATTCTTTCTTCACTCGGCCTTTACTGCCGTATCCTCTCTATGCCCTCCCACGACCTCGGCGCATCAGCCACCCGCAAGATCGACATGGAGGCTTTCTTCCCCAGCCGTCGCGACAACTGGGGCGAAGTCACATCAGCAAGTATGTGCACCGACTACCAAACCCGCCGCCTCGGCACACGAACACGCATTGATGGCAAGCTCGCCTTCCCCTGGACTTCCAATGGTACTGCCCTGGCTGTTCCTCGTGTGATAGCAGCTATTCTTGAGAATGGCTGGGATGAAGAGGCGAAGACTGTTACGATCCCCGAGTGCTTGCGGCCATGGATGGATGGAAAAGAAAAGATTGGCCTTGGTGGACGTCGTTCGAGCGTGGATCGCGTGTAAGTTTGAAATGAGGGATGAAGCATGGCTTTGATTGCGTGCGTGTACGAATGGAGAATGACGGAGGCATAATTGCTATGAAATCTTGATATCTTATTTAATATGAAACGCAAGGCGTGATCTATCTATTGAATATAAAGCCCTGTCCTTTAAAGCCTCTGTGCAGTCTATCCTGAGAAGTCTGGAGACAAATATCTCATCACCACACCAAGTTCTTTACCTTCCTCTCCCAACCAGGCATCCTGAACTCCATCCCTGGACTTCCCCTCCATCGATACCATCCTGACATCTTCTTCATCGCCCCAAGCCAACCTAGTTCCCCTCTCCTCCAAGCTTTGCCTCTCGTTCCATCTCCCCGATGTTGCACAACATACACGCCTCCATCCGATGCTGTCGTCAACTTGGCTTCTCCCCGTTCGGGATCGCCACTGCTATAATATTCTCGTCGACGTGGGATTCTATTCGCCTGGAATCGTTTATTGTGGTCCAGGTCCAGAATCTCACTTGCTGCAACTTCCATCCACACATCCAACGTTCTCAGATGGTCTGCGTAAATGATGAGGATGGCGAGGAGGGAAGAAAGCCCTGATGCAAGCCAGAAGACCCAAAATGATTTACCCTCCGGACCATATGAGCTTTGGATTGACAGAATCCCTGATACAACTGTCAGGGGCAGCAAGAGGCCTCCTAGATATGCTATTCGATCCAGACTTCTTGAGTTTGAATCCTTGGGGTCGTCCTGGGCTTGCTGAGCATGTGCTTGGAGAGCAACGGTCACAGAGAGTTGTATGCGCCTTTGTAAACGTTCTGCAAGATTTGACCAGTCTGTGGACGTTATGGTACTGAACTCTCCTCGTCGCTCCATGCTTCTTGTAATATCGGCATTGGTCTCAAGGGCTCGCGCGATAGTCCACTGAACATCCACGGAGTCAGATCCGAGAGGCGGTAGGGAGTCGAGTGTCTGTAGCCACATATCGTAGATGAGCTCTGCGACTAGGTCCTCTATCGGGCGGATATCGACGAGGGCTTGCCAGAGGGAATCTTCCAGGCCGGATCGCTTTGGGGGGCGCTTGCTTGATGCTTTGCCGTCTGGACGTGTATTACCTGGTACTCTTGAAGGTCGATAGGGTCGTGGGGATATTCGAAACGGAAGACCATCGAGGAGAAGAATAGGGAGTTGTTCCTTGACCATGAGTGATGCGCGACATATTCTGATTCCCTCATCCTCATCAGACCCGTCATCATCGTCTTTCTCTTTCGTCTCGCCATCCTCCTCTTCAGGCTTCCTTCTTCTGATCTCCGTCTCAGGGAACTCCCAAACCCATCCACCCCTTTTCTTATCCAACTCCATCCCTATTAGAACACCCATATCGCATTCACCTCTTACAATAGCCAACTTCCGCCATCCTGGCCTTTCCACCGCCAGCATCTCTTCTTGAAACTCTTCAACATTGAGTAATTCTTTCTGCCGACAATTTTGTGTACTCCATTCGAGAAGATACGGCCGGGAAAGCTGTGGTATTCTGGCGACGGGAATGACCCGATCCGATGAGCGCCGGGTCCGGTGCCGGGGCTCGGAAGCCGGGCGTAGTCGTGACATCTGGGTTCTTATGCTCTGTTCTCCCGGAGCGACTCAAACCGCTGGATCTAATATTCAAATGAGACTCAAGCTAGCCAAAACTGTTGTTAAGAGTGTTACTGAGACCGTACCAACTCGGATTTGGGGAAGTTTCACTCTTTTGAGTCTTTCAGCACTATCTTCTACCCGACCCCATGAACACAACTTCCGTCATGCGAGAAGTCCTCAAGGCATTTTGTCTCCATAATTTGGCAGGTAAAAACTTCTTTTATTTCAGACTTTAAGGGTCCCGAAGGTCTCACTTAGGCAGATGTTCCCCTGCGCCTCCATCAGCAAGTGTCTAAGTGTGGTCATGTGCCGAGTCCTTGAGCCCAGATGACCCAGACCGTGAAAGAACCTCAACACGCGACGCATTCACCTGTGAGAGAAATATTACATAAACACCTGTCAAGTCAGATAGATGAACCTTGTTTATCTATGGTTGACTCATGACACGACCTGGCTTGTAGTTGGTATATTGGTGAAGTACCTCAACTCACATCACCCAAGACACCGTCAAAAAGCATCCCTGTGGTTCTATAAGCTAGCCTTCGTTCGTGCATGGCTCGTCATCTTTGTTGAATGTTAACTTTACATAACATGACTTCTTTCCCGCTCTTCCCGAAACGCCAGACCAGACGCCATTTTAACAGCGGCAAATCGTAGGATGCTGAGACTCCCTCTCTCTCGTCTCTTTCATTTCTCTACCCTCCGCTTCTGTTTTCTGTCCCCTTTCGTTGTCTGCTTCTCTCGTCTCTTCTGCCTTTCGTGGTTTCTCTCTCCCTCTCTTCCTCTCTCTCCCTCTTACAAGCAATCGTTCAAAGGAGTGTCGAGTGCAAAGTATGTGTCAAACGACGCTGAATAAAAGAATAGACGCCCCAGTGCAAGAATCTCAGATCATAACCCCATGCGTATACGTGCGGCAACATGTCCAATCCATGATCGAGGTCAACTATCAATAACAATATTTCGAACTCCTGAACCTCAAATGTTGCACCCAGAAACTCAAACTCAAACTCAACGGTGATGATCGTCGTCGCCATCGTGATGCAGAGTGACACTGTTGAACTCGAGGAACGGGTCGGCAATTTCACCACCAGGAGTTGCCAGTCCACTGTCCAACGGAACTCCCTTCAAGTTCATCGCCCTTGATCCTGACAAGTCGACACTCTCGCTTTCCTTGACGTTTCGGAAGTTGACTGTATCAACTCCTCGGCCCGCGTGAGGAACAATCGGTGGTTTTTGGTGTCGAATAAGTGCCCATTGTGTCGTTCTGAAGAATGGGTGCGCCTTGATATCTGATGCGCCAGCTCGGGCGCCCAGTCGTCGGTTCTCATCCTTGATGAGTAGTTTCCTTATCAAAGACTTGCAGAGGCTGTGGCTTGGTTAGAACAGTAGGACAGTGAGTTTTTATGCAGGACTTACTTTGAGATCTGTGGTGCACCGGTATGGTCGGGGAATGGAATATCCTCTCTAAGGATATTTGCGAAAGTTGCGTTTCGGTTCTTGCCTTTGAAGGGTGTTGTGCCGTAAAGCATTTCGTAAATAAGGATACCCAATGTCCACCAATCGACCGCACTTGTGTGACCGCTGCCCTTAATCACTTCTGGCGCAATGTACTCTTCTGTGCCAACAAAAGAATTTGTGCGGAAGTTAGCGATACATGAACGAGTGTCGATAGTTGGGAGAGCGTCGGTACGGGCTCCGTTCTTGCCGACGATCATGGTCGGCTTGCCACCAGGGTCTGACTGCTTGGACAGGTCGAAGTCTGAAAGCATGATATGACCCGATTGGTGCAGGAGAATGTCTATCACAAAGGGTCAGTGGCAGATTTGTAAGCACAGCATCTCAACATACTCTCAGGCTTCAGGTCTCGGTAAATGAAACCCATAAGATGCAAGTATTCCAGTGCTGCTGTTACCTCGGCGGCGTAGAATCGAGCATCCTCTTCAGGGATGCATTTTCCAGGTCGTGTTTGCAGAGCGCGGAAGAACTCGCCGCCGCTACAGTACTCCATACACAGGTATAGGTAGTCTTCTGACTGGAAAGAGTGATATAATGTGACAATGAACGGATGGTTACTTGTCGCAAGAATTTCCTGCTCTGCCAAAGCTCGCTTAATCTTGTTGCGCTTGATCATTTCCTTCTTGCTTAGTACTGTAGCTAGTTAGTCGTTGTTGCGATGGTAAACATGACCGGTGGACATACTCTTCATGGCATAAAGCCTGCTGCTCTTCTTCTCCCTTACGAGGTACACCTTTCCAACATCTCCCTTTCCAATAAGCTTGATCTTGTCAAAGCTGGAGGGGCTAACTTCAACATTTCGAACCTTGATAGAATTGGAACTATAGGTGCGGCGGAAAGCCATGCCCAGATTAGGAGCAGGAAGAGCAGCAAGAACATCGTCAGAATTGGCATGTTTGGCCTTGTCTTCGGCCTCCAGAGCCTTAGCCGTTTCTATGAGGCCCAATGCGCCTGAACTTGTGAGAAGAGGATCCTTGCCGAGCTCGGCAGTCGCGGGACGCTCATTGTTGGGATCGTTTTTGGAGAACAGGCCCTGGGCATTGGGTGCACTGGCGACTCTTCTAAGTCTCCGGGCGAGTTCCTCTTTGGTTTCGCTGGTAGTTTGATCGTTCGCAGGGGCACCATCAGGGCCTTGGACCTTGAGACTCGGTGTATCGGGGGGGCTTGGGGGGACAGAGTCGGAATTGTGGTGACGCAATCCTGGTTGGCCTTGATGGGCGAAATAAGGGTTTGCATGTGCCGTAGGACTCATGGCTTCCTCCAGCTGGTTACCCTCGCTAGCGACGGTGTGCGCGCGCAGACGGCCGACGGTATTACTAAAGAACTTGGTATGACGGGGTTTCGAGGGATCGGGGGTGGTGGCGGCCGAACCCTTTTCCTTCTCCTTCTCCTTGTCCTTATCGCTAGAAGCACTGCCGGTGCTACCTCCAGTGTTCATGCGGAAGAAATTGCGCAGGCGATGGCTCACCTGGCCGGTGCCATTGGAGGTCTTTTGAGACGGCATAGCGACGGTAACGTTATCGGAAACGTTTGGATGGGCAGAGACGGAAACAGCTTTGGCGGGTGTTCGACTAGAGATTTGCTTCCATATTCGACAAAATAAATAATTGGGAGGCGAGAGAACGTTTTCGGGTTGATGTTGATCGAGGCAGGTAGAAGATCGACGAGGGGGTTGTTGTTGCGCGTTGTTGAAGTCGCGGCCTTATATCCGTCCGTAGCGAGATAGGTATAAGTGTCGGGACCGATGAGTAGACGAAGCTGCCTTGTTGAGAGAAAGAAGTCACAGGGGAGCTTAGAGCAACACCACTGTTGTAAAAGAAGAAAAGGGAGGAAGAAGACACAAGAACCTCAAGAGGAATGACGCTGCTGGCCTTGAGACCGAGACTGAGACTGGGTCAGGCAGGCTATGGGTCTTGCTTAGGATTGGCCTTGATCTGGGAATTGGATTGGAAATGGGCCTTGAGCATGGATGGGAATGGATGGATCCGATGGGAATGGGGGCGGCGTCGGAGACTTCTGCCTGAGGCATGATTAATAATTACAATGGATGCAATGCAGGTCGGCATCGGCCCCTCTATCGCCATTGCCCGCCCACTAACTCAGCTCTAAAAGTCTAGCGATCTTAAGCGTAGCCTCACCCATGGTCCAATGGATGGATGAATGTGACTTTGTCTTCTCTTCTGTGTTAATAGAGTTACATATAAACTTAAACTGGATAGGGGAATACTGTATGCAGGCTGTCACTTTACATATTACTGCATTCACTATAATCATAGTACCATACAACAGCATCTCACGCAAACTCGAGGTGAATTCCCTCGTCTCCCTTGTAGGCGGGGATCTGGAACGCCTCGCCTCTTCTAAACTCGCCCGCCTCGCACCTCTCTGTGGCTTGGGTGGTCTAGCCTGGGGGTTCCCTAGGGTCTGGGTAACGTTAGTTTAAGGTGAGCTTAGGTTGGCTTGGCCTCTCATTATCTGACAAAGCCAGCTGCGCCCTCGGCCGCTCGGTATCGTTCGACTGCCCGCAAACTCCGGTGAGATAATGCCGTTAGATATAAAGCGTAATTGCGAATTTAGCCAAAGTACTCATCCTCCCGAAGTCCCCGGTAAAGGAGTGACGTTCTTCAGTGGGTTGTTGGTAGGCCCGTCTTTCGGGCATCCTAGGGCGAACGAACCACTAGAACGGTACGTTTCGAGTCTGTCTATGCGCTAGAATCATGAGGCGCCGATAGCGTCTTGCCAGATCGGAAAAGAGACCCTGTGGGTTCTCGATATTGGTTCCCATGGCCTCGGGTTGCTTGCTTGGGCTCTGCAGATTGTACCTTGTCTTTCTAGAAAACGATTGAGTCGAAAGCTCATGACATGAATGAGGCGATCAACATTGCAGTACTTCCTATCCTGGTAACTCATCATTGTGCAATGCCAATGTGGGGAGATGTCAGAACAGGGCCATTTTGTTTGTGGAACGATGATTGACAACATCCGAGTTACGGACTCGAAAAGACCCCAACTTTGTTCTGGAAGTGGCTTCGGGATCTAATACCGAGCCCGGTCATCATGAAGACCCAACTCTAAAACTCACTAATTGATCAAATATACTGATGCCGCAAAGCCTTTCACTGTCGCTGTCATAATCAGAAATGTTTGTGCCTGAGTGGACTACCCTGGAACTCGTGGCATGATAAAGCTAGAACCACCAAGGGTTATCAACGCTAGTCAGCCGTGCTTTACCAGAGATGTGAAAAGACAGGACTATCTTGGATGTTCATGCACTTCATCAGGAGACATGAGATCCAATGCTCAGTACTGGTTTAAAAAGCTTATTGAATTTAACTTAGTCGACTTGCTTACTGTAAGAACCCCTCCCAAAGCCATAACGTCATATCCGATGAGACTTGCAACATTCAAAAAGATATTTATAAGAGAGGTTGTGTTGGCATACGAGAAGCCTTCTTAACTGGAATTGGATTCAACTCACTACGCTGATTCATAAGATCTCACAGTATTTACGCGTAGGTTTGTTAGTCATAATTAATCTTCAAAAAGATAAGTGGAAGTTTCCAAGTACGCGTATACGAAAGCCTCGAGTCACCGCCCGTAGAAGGGCGATACTGGTAATGTTTGCCTATGACGTTTCACAAGCCCAGCATGCTAATAAGCATTACGAAAAGCTTATATACGCATCAATATGTGTCGTGTTGTGAGCAACGAGTAGCTTTTCGGGGATTGCCTGGATGTGGTTTGTGTAAGTGAGCCAAGCCGGCCGGGCCTTTTGCTCTCATGGCTTAGTCCACACCAGCCGTTTTGTACCTTATTTCAGCCAAATTGTCATTTTGAAGACTTTTTGATACTGCATTTGGAGAGTAGCTAAATGATCCTTATCGTATCACCAGAGAAACCGGCCATCGAGGGATCGAAGTGTCTCCGCTGGCATAGACTTATGATGACTGCTCACAAGATTGACGAGGAATAGTCAATAGACCAGTCTTTGCGCCAGCCATTTAAGCAGAGACAGCCAATTTTTTAAATGATAACCAAGATCCGATTACGAGCAAGCTCAAGAGGTGTATCGAGGTGTTTATGAATTCTGATTGTCAAGACAACACAGCTGTGTTGAGCTCGGCGAGGCTGAAAATTGGCAAGCTCCTGGACGGATGAGACATGACAACTTCGGTCTGTCTATTTTCCGGTGATACCACCGATGAGTACCTGTATCTGCCTGCCTGCTGTATCTTGTTCAGACCGTCGCTATAAGCTGGAGTATGGCATTGACTGTCACATACGACCATACCTATCAGAGAACTCGGGATCCCGTCCGCTCTCCCATAGATAAGCTGATAAGGGGCGGATTAGTAGTTGGGTCGGTGACGACCAGCGAATCCCCGCTGTTGTATGTTTTTTTGGTCACAATCTTTTTGGTGTTTTGGTCAAGCGAGGCTCCAAGTGGGCCGGACCACCTTACTGGGTCATTTACCGATCAGGGAAGGTCGATGGACTTTTCAGTTTCATTAGCAAATCATTAAAGATGTTGCTTTCTGATATCGTAGTCCAAATGGATAGAAAATGTTATGGCATGTGCCATTACTGTCTCGCTTGGTCTCAGCTAAGCGAATGTAAGTGGTATTTCGAGCTGAAAGCTGATATCCACCTGACCTCCAATAGCCAAAGCGCAACAGCGCCGTAAGCAATACAATAAACTATTGAACTCAGTATTGCACCCATTTTCTGGCACATGAGCTTCAGAAAGCCAATGAGATTGCTGTCGTAGCTCATTGAAGCACAGGTTCTAGTATTCAAGTTTGCCTCAATCCCTTAGCATACCATAAGTCTTTTCTGAGAGACACATGCGATCATTAAAGACACATCGAGTTCGGTGAGTCTACCTCTTACGTGGCTGACCTATATTTAAAAAGCTCAGCTCGGATAAGCTTTCTCATATGTGCTGTGATGCAAGTATTGGATGTCGGTATCAAAGTTTGGACTTGTGATGTTGTTCGGTCTGCTTCGCTAAGGAGCGACCCCCGACCAATCAGGAATAGCACTTATTCCTCAAAACTCAACTCGGACGGAAGTCTACCTGTCTAAGTCACATAGGGCTTTATTGTTTTGCCAGTTGACAATTGATGAGGTCAGGTCGTGTAAGCGAAAAAACAGGGTTGGGTGACAAGCTGGGGCGAGGTACATAAGGTTACGTGAGACAAGTATGCGAAATCAAAGTACCCAGATCGGTCAATGCAGGCCAGATCGAGGCCATATAGGCCTCCAAAACCCTGTTCTCCGATTGGCTCTTTGGTAAAAGACTGCCACTAAAGCGGAAAAGGGCACAGCCTTCAGTCGGTCTGCTTAGGTTTATCTGACGGTCTGGCCGCTTGTGTCGCAATTACATTCTTTTCCCTCTTCATCTATTGCTCGAATTTAATCACTTGGTGACGTTGTCTCCCAGCTTCAACTCCCTGTGAGATTCCGTTTCAACTCTCATTTCAAACCCAATTCCGGCACCATGGCTCGTGGCAACCAGCGCGATTTGGCTCGGGCAAAAGCACTGAAGAAGAAAGATGGCCTGGTTAGTCTCATCCTCAAATCTGTTCCATATATTGGAATCATTACATCAACCAACATGTCCTCTTACCCTCTTTAGAAAACAGGAACCAATAAGTCTGGCACCCAGATGCAGCGCGACAACGAGACCGCCGCTGAAATTATGCGACGAAAACAGGCAGCTGGTATGTCCAACCAACCATTTACAGCCCTGCGATCGATCCGATTCCCGAATACAACTGCGAACCAACACAACGTCGCTTTTGGAACAGAAAAGTGCTGACAAACTCCAGCTGATGCCCGCAAAGCCGCCGAAGGCAAGAAATGAACACTGAAACGCTCGCAGTCCGAACATCACTAGCTCGAATCGAAACACTGTTGATATAGACAAGAGGTGGAAATGATGGCCAGGTGTTGCGGGATGTTCGGGAACATGCTCTTCAACAGCAACAAAATGGATCAACTTTTGGGTAGCACTGGCGAAGCGGTGCAATGATATGGTTTGTTTTAAATGGGTTATACTAGCCTCTCTTTCAATACATCTTTGCAATGATGTTTGCTCGTGATGGCTAAACAAGCAGCTCTAGTTTTTTCCTTGACGTTCTTCTTTGTTTTGAGACCACAGTCTGAACCATAAGATAGATCATGGTTCAGATGATCGGACGATTTGCACCGTGGCTGTCCAATGAAGATTGGAACTCTGAGATTCGCGACACGAGAAGGACCACAGCTCTATGCATTAACATCTTGATATTCAGATGTCATGTCTGTTCCTTAGACTTTGCTTCTGCATCAATGAGATCCGCAACCTCCAGCGCCTCTAGACACTCCTCCAACTCCTGGCGTGTATTGTTTGTATCAGCATGATCTGCCCCAAGTAACTTTGCCCGAAGCCCCAGACATTCTTCCAGTATCCTCTTTGCATCGCCGAGCATGTCGACATCTGGATACAAGTGTCTTTCGTTCAAAAACATCTGACCAAATAATAGCCATGTGGATCCAAGGTCGTTCATTACCCTGAGAGTGTCAGGATGCTCTTTACCAAGAATCCTTTTGCTGGCCTCCAAGGCTTCCACCTGCAAGTCCTCTGCTTCCGAATGAGCACCTTTGTTGAAGAGCGTCATTGCAAGATTTGCCTTGCTGTAGAGAGTGTTGGGGTGTTCTTCACCGAAGATCTTAATTTTTCGTTCCAAAGCCTGCCTGTGCATTTCTTCCCCTTCTTCGTCCCCGAGGCTGACCGCCAAATTATCCATCGCTCGGATGGTGCTGATGTGTTCGGCTCCAAGCGTCCGTTTTTTGACCTCAAAAATATGACGGTCTAGTACTAATGCTTCATCATTTTTTTCTTGTTTATTTAAGAAGACAGATAAATTAGCCATGGCATCTAGAGTTTGTTCATGTTCATCACCATAAAGGTGTTTCAAGGTCTCAATAACGCCCCTCTGTAACCTTTCAGATTCTTCGAAATGACCTAGATTTGACAGCGAGCCCGCAAGGTCAGAGGCTGTAACAAGAGTCTCTATATGTTCTTCGCCGAGTAACTTCTCTCGGATGGTCAGTCCTTCGCGCCGCAACTTTTCTGCTTTGCTGTATCGACCTTGATGGTTGAAGAATGATCCAACTCTGTGAAGCAAAGAAGCCCTGAGGAGACTGTCCTCCTCCGTTTCGATTATCTGAGCCTCGAGAACAGAGCTTGCGTGGGAAAGATACGTAGTGCATGTTACCAAATCTTCGGCCCACCATTCAACATCTTCGAAGTCTGCATAGGGATAAAAGTCCGATACGGAGAGGAAAGCATGTCTTGCAAACTCGGCTATACTTCCTTTGCGAACTAACCAAGTTCGTGTAACCAACTGAATAAGACGATGCATGGTATGGTCGCCGCCTCTCTCTGCCCGGATGAAGCAGAACGCCTTCAGAACTCCTAGTGCCTTGATAAGCCGCATTTTAATGTTGGATTCTGTACCATGATTTCCTTTAGCATAAAACTCGAGAAATTCAAGAGGTATTGCTTGACGATCGAACAAGCTCATCAGCGACAGTAGCTCACTGGCAAAAAGATACTGTCTCTCTATCTGCTGGAAGGACAGCATCCAGGTCTGGGCAACTGCACGAGGGGTATCTGAGTCTCTCCCGACCGTTTCAAACTCTTCATTCAGAAGTTCAATAAGATCGTCTTCGCTTCCGTCCAAGAGCTCAAGGTATTCGCTGACTGTGACGGAATTCTCCTGAATAAAGGCAGCTGCCTGCACCAGTGCGAGCGGTAGAAACTCCAGACGGGATGAAAGTTGAATCAAGTCCTTTTCGGACTCATCCGTTTGTTGCAAGCCTTGGCGAAGAAGCTGAGTCGCTTCGTGTTCGTCCATTGTGCCAACTTCGATAGGACACTTGCCTTTCGTGAATCTTGAGCCAACCTGCATATTCCTTGTTGTGATAAGAGCATTACCGTGAGCACATTGTGGTATGAACTGGCCCAATCCCCTCTCAGTATTGAGATTTATCTTGGAAGATTCAGTTTGAGGAAAGAATAGTTGCATGTCATCGGCGTTGTCAATAACCATCAACCATTGTCCACACTCATCGCTCTCCAGCCAGTCTCTGACGGCCGGTAAAACGTCGAAAGTCGGGTCTTCGTGCCCTGGGATCTTGCATTCATTGGCAATATTGGTGTAACCTTCAGAGAATCTCTCGGCGCTGCTGGCATGAACCCAAAAGACTGATGTGTCCTGAGAAATCTCCTGGACCCAATATGCATACGACAATGCGATTTGGGTCTTCCTGAACTAGGTTAGCGATTGAAATTTTGATCGAAACTTGTAGAACATACCCGACTCCACCGAGGCCATAGAGTGCGGCTCTCCGATGCCCCTTTCTCTTCGACTGGGGCTCTAGATCTTCAAGTTGACTTTTCAGGAGATCGAGTATTTCGGATCTTCCGACAAAATCTGGGTTGAAAGTGTATGGAATGAGAACTGAGAAATCAGTATGAGTCGGGTGCTACCAGGGGTCCCGAATTAAAGGGTAATGACTCCGGAGTCAGCGTTTGTTAAGTACTCACAATGTGCGGCACGAGTGTGCTTCTTTGGCTTGGATTGTGTTTGCTGAATCCTCTTCATCCAGCGCTTGAGCTCTCCGCAAATAGCCACAAAACCAGGCTCCTCAGAATTGGAGAATTTGGTCATCTCTGCATGATTTCTATGTATGCCGATCGAGATGTAGCCAGGCAGGATGGCCGAATGTTTGGGGACGATAACTCCGAACTTCTTAGTCGGAAGCTCTTCGTAGAAACATGTGATGTCTATCATAGTAGCCTCATCTTTGCTACGCGTCATGAGAAGAGCCTGAAAGCTATCCTGAATTCGGGCCAGGACTTCCGAGTCTCTTGTAAGGACTTGGACAATGTCGCTGTTGGTCTCTTTGATCAATCCAACGGAGCGTGAGACCAATTCTCCGATCTTGGCGAGGCTTGAGCCATGATGTGGTGTGCCGAGAAAGATGACTCCACGAGTGAAGTTGACTATATCTTGAAGGTGCTGTTCAGAGCGTTGCTTTGCTGTCACGAGAGCCTGTTTTCTTGTTGAGATGTCGTCTCTTGATCATCGAAGCGAGTGACCTACATCCTGACAAACAAGTCCACCTAGGCTGTGGCAGACGAATATAATAGGTCGCTCATTCTGAAGACATTAGTCAAGAATGGAATTAGAGATGGGGATATTTACTGTGTTATCGCTCTGTCGAAGTGATGCGAGAGCAGTCACGAGATTATATGCATGATTGGAGATTCGATTCTGTGAAGGAACATCGTCCTTACCGGTGACAGTTGAATCATAAGAGTAAGTAAGAACACGTGCAGTCTCAATCTCCAATGGAAGGAGTGTTTTCGGCCACGGATTTCCCGAACTTTTGTCCGTCCACGTCTTTTGACAATCTCCTTTCAATCCATGAACGAAGACAATGCTGGCCTTTTGGTCAGACAATAACTTGCCGAAGACAAATAGCGGACTCACTCGATGTTATCACTTTCGGCGCTATGGAATGTCTGTATTCCAGAGTAAAAGAAAGTTGTCCGAGTCTGAGCTACCGGCGCTGGTGATGGTTCAGGAACTGGCTTCTCCTTCACAGAAGGGGTTTTATCTGGTTTGGATTTAGAACGAAAGACGCGCCGGACAGAAGAAAACATTTTTAGGAAAACAAATATTTATACATGAGGTGCAAAGAAAATGAAGAACGGTTTTCACAAACATGGGTTTAATCTTGTTTCATAAGTTTTGAGTATCACATCACATCACATGGTTCTAAGCGCCGAACGCATCAGGAGACACTGATAAGCGCCGGGACCCATGATCTACAACTGGGGCAAGTTTCATCCAATTCCATGTTGGTTGACGGTCTCAAATGAGAATTGCAGGTCATACAGGGAACATACACGGTTAGAGCAGCTAAGGCTCAACCAACACCACGTTCAACCTGACCTGCCACAATCGCTAGAAGTAACGTGCAATGGGACCTCTCCCCAATGTGCGCAACCGAGATGTGAGCGAATCCTAGTCAGACCCGCTTCATTTCTGTAAGTAGAAGTATGCTGCTTTTTTATTGAAGACTTGTCGATTCATAGATGTTGGGTGTATAGGCTCACCGGACTCGATGTCCATGTCCATGGTGTTTTACATAGCTTCGGATGCCAAAGAAGAATTACTTACTATCGATGCACTAAATCAAGTATGTTCTAACAAGATAGAAATAGTATTTATATGTAAGTGTATATGTTTATAGAATCAGGTAGCAACGGAGTGTAATCTCATGGGTTTCTTTACACTCTTTCATAGTCTTGGCGAACTGAGACTACATGATTCTGCAGTGAACAGCCAGAGCTCAAACAACAACATGTCTATTTACAAGAGACTTACATGAAAACGCAATGGCCAACAACAGATACACTAAACTACGTAGAATGTCGACAGGCGACAAGTAATCATTCGGTCACTCGTGCTTATACTTCAATAGTGCATTTCTTGGACATACGGATGGAGTGGTCAACACCCCAGATCAACTGAGTTTCTTGCCCTATATTGGGCGAAACTGAGAAACGCTGTGAGACGGGATCCTCAGGGCATACACCATTTTGTGCACACAAGATCAGCTTGAATTCAAAGATCGTCAAGCTTATTGGATTGAGTGTTTGATCTGTCCCATCAAACTCACCGGCCCCCAACATCTACTGATCCATAATTGCTGTCATCCAACTGTTTAACCCTCACATTTAGAGAGAACTTCAACAGTTTGAGAGCATATACTTCACGAAATGTCTCTGATACAATACCATGCCACAATAGGGCCATGAACAACCAATCCCAAACAAACCCATCATTCCAATCCCATCTTACACCAGCAATACCCACTTAGCTCACCAAAGTCCCCAATTAGCAACGGAACTTGACAATCCCGTCCTAACGAAATAGCTTCACCACCGGGATCATGCTGCCGAGTATAACCAAGTCTAAGCCCTATCTACTGTAGCCCGATGACATTTCAGTGCCTGGCACTAAAGCTGGGGATTCATGTAGCCGTGGGGCGGAGTACATTTTGTGAGCACGGTGGTATTTGGCGTTTAAGCCACACGGCAGATGAGCCGAGCCAAAGTTTATGAAACAGTTTCGTTGATGTAACATTCTGCATTTCGTTTCTTCATGTTTCCTTGGCGTTTTATGCTTGTTAGAAGCTTTACTGTTGAGAAATTACCTGTCTTTAGGATTTCTCTTTCATCACTGCGTTAAATGCTATATCTTTAACCATAACATTAATTAATTAATTCAATATCTCAATGATGCAATAAGCTCAAGGTAACATCGTCTCCGCGCTACCGCAATTCTCCGACCCTACTCCAGAGATAGCTCTGGCCGTGTTAGCCGTTCAACTAGCTAGTTCGTCCTTTCAACTGCAACATCTCGGCAAGGCCTAGATCCAGAGCTGAAGAGTAAGACCTAGCATAGCATAGCATCAAAGACACAGCGGGATTCAGCACACAAGAGCAATCTCATCACATTCGTCCTGTGAGATTCATGTCGTCATGATAGCTCCAAGACCCCTCCTCAAAGGTAACCTTGCCGTGAACTCAATTCTCGCCGCTGAGCCATCCTCCAGCCTCTTCCAAGTGCCGTCTCTCTTCTATTACAGCTATATATCCCTCGAGCAACTTCCCTCAACAGATTCTTTCTCTTCAGTTCATACCACATTCACAGTCTTGTCCCATATTGTAGTATAAAACATCACATTCTCTGTTTGTCTATCTATCATAGCCAACACCATCTTTCGTTCGCATCACAACAACTGAAACCATGCGTTTCTCAACACTCTTTGCCTCTGTAGGCCTTGTCGGCTCTGCAATTGCTGGCATCGTTCCCCGATCTTACAGGGTTCCTGCTGCGAACGGTTTCCCCAACCCCGATGCTTCACAGGAGAAGCAGATCGCTATCCAGGCTGGTGGAAAGCTCCCTGGTGCTCCTCTTCCTACCACTCTTGGTGATGGTTCTGCCACAGCTTTCCAGCTGATTGCCTTCAACGAGCTTTTTGAGACTGCTTACTTTTGCTCTCTTCTCTACAATGTTACCAACAAGATTGAGGGATACAAGGTTGAGGGTGACAAGTTTCATGAGGCCACCCATGTTCTCAAGACTGTCCTTGCTGTCAGTACTTACCCATAATCATAAGAATATCAGTCAACTGACCATTTGCAATAGCAAGAAGAGCAGCACGCCATCGGCGCCCTGGCCACTCTCAAGTCAGCCGGCAGATTTGCCCCTTCACCTTGCAAATACCAATTCCCCGTCGACAATCTCAAGGACGCCATCCTTCTCGCTGAGACCTTCACTGCAGTTGTTCTAGGTGCTCTCCAAGATGCCAACGTTGTCTTCGCAAGCGAGGGTCTTCCCGAGGTTGTCCGCCTGATCTCATCCGTCATCGGTCAAGAGGGTGAGCAGAACGGTTTCTACCGCATCTACCTTGGCCAAGTCCCCTCTGAGTCACCCTTCCTGACCACTGTCCCTGCTGCTTTCGCCTGGTCTGCTCTCCAGGGCTTTGTTGTTCCTGGCTCTTGCACTGAGGACATCAAGAAGATCAACCTTCCCATCTTCCCTGCTCTCCAGGTCAACGGTGGTGCCATTGCTGTTCTTGACGCTGAGGACCAGAGCCTCTCTTTCAGCGCTACTCTTGAGGAGTCTCACAAGGGCGAGGATCTCTACATTACTTACACCACTGGCCAACAGCTTCCTTACAGTGTCAAGGCCGAGAATGTCAAGTGGAATGGCAAGACTGTCAAGCTTGAGGCTGAGTTCCCCTACCATAAGCTGGTCGCTCAGGGCTTCACCCACGCTGCTCTGACCACTTCCAACAACATCGCCACTCCTGATGACGTCCCCAACTTCACTCTTGCTGCTCCCGGTCTCATCCAAGTCAAGAACCCTCTCGATGGAGGCAAGGGAAGCCACTCTGATTAAAAAAGGGCGGGATGTTTGCAATGCCACTTGGCAGTTCTGGTACCTAATAGATCAATGGAATCGGTGCTTTGGTGTTACAATATTTACAGAGTTTATGCATTTTTCTCGGGCCTAATGATAATTCAAAATTAAATAAATGGTTGGTATGTTAGACTGCAAAAGTTCCAAGTCGATGTGCTGTGAGATATCCCGTCCCTCCATCTCGGATAATCGGGATGTGTGGATGACGCTTCTAATTTCCGGGTATGCCAATGATATTGAGCTGAGACAACTGAGCTTGACGCCATCTTCAGCCCTAGAGATTCTGAACCTCGCAAGTTCAGCCTCATTTGAGAGATCTCAACACAGGAAAATCGAGCTTGAGAAGCTCGCAGCTGCGGCTGATAATTTCGCCTCTAGTACTCAACTGTTCAGGAGCTCCAATCAAACGGCAGCTTCTTTTCACGTGTAATCGTATAAGCATAATGACGGTCACCATCATCACCTCATCAAACGCGGGGATGAGACATCTCTCCACATGTTTCTCTGAGCAAAAGCTCCTCTCACAAGCCACTGATAGCAAGACATCAAGGTCACCCTCACGGAACGAAACCTCAAGACCATCAATACCCAAAAGGTAACCTTGAATCATAAAATCGCTTTGCATTAGACCCGAGCCGGACTTGCACTCAATTCTGTTAACCAACCTCTCTGAACCCCTCAAACTGCTTGTCTCTCGACTCCCATTTCTTCGTCTGACTCATCGGGGAGGTTGTCGTTCATACGAATGAGCAGCTCCTTGAGTTTCCGCCGGTTCTTTCTCCACGTAAACAAATCTTCTTCCTGCTGATCTCGTATCGAGGGCGTGACCTGGTTCCCGCGTTCATCCTTGAGATAATCTGGTACATCCTCTGCCGTGTTCGGCAAACTCCGCTCACCAAGATTATTATTAAACCCATCACCGCAGTGCCACGATAGAGGCACTAGATGCGCCTCCTCGATGTGCTCTTTAAACCCCGCGTCCGTCTCAAACTCAGATGGTTTCTCCAACATCCCACACTCTCCCCACAGGCAGTTGATATCATCACCGTGGATGATATAAACGTGCCGTCGGAGAGTTTCGAGGTTATGTAGTTCAGCCTTGCAGTCTCTCCACTCACACAGAAACGGGAAGATTGGTGCATCCACTTGATAGTAGATGGTCTCTGGAGGAGGAGAAGGTTGCTTTGGTGGTCGGCCTCTTCGTTTTGGAAAGCCATTGGGGTGAGGCCGCGGCTTAGTAGCAGCTTGTCGGGCCTGCCGAGCTCCAGCTGCTGTTTGTAGACCCTTTGATTTATTCGTTGAACCTTTAGGTCTCCCTCTTCCTCGCGCTGGTGTTGTAGACGTTGCATCGCTGGAGACTCCCGTCTGTGTACCACCTGGACTCGACGTTTTCAGAGCGTTGACTGCTTTGAATAACGACTTTGGTCTTCCCCGTGGGGTAAGATCTGACGTGACCGGCGCATCAAAGCCATCTTCCTCATCGATGCTGACTCCTCTGTAGGCTTCGAGATGTGCTGGTGACCGCGTGAGAACGACAGCGAGACTTGACCTACCACTTGGGGTCAAGGAACCTGGATGTTGCTTAACCGGGCTTTGGCTGTGACTTCTTGTTGGTGCATCTCTGGCTAGAGGGTCCTCTGACTCTAAACTGTCTGAGACGGAACCA